GTTTGTTTTTCTCTTTGAAGGAAAAAAAAAATCTTTCATTGTTACACAATCCCCTCCCCCCGAGTACACAGTCCACTTTAATATGCATTTCTTTTTCTGTAATCTTGTCATGAAAATAATACCTAATCCTATGAGACTCTGAATGTTGCATTAGAGTGCCGAGAAGCCAAAAGCCAAAGGAAGAAACCAAGAAATCAAAGAGGTGAACAGAAAATTTCAAAAGGCAGCCATATAGCAAGATACTGTAATGAAATGTGCAGAGAGCTGGAGTCAGAAAATCAAAAGGGCTGAACTCACTCAGCGTTTCTTAAGCTGAAGGAGTTGAAAAACAAATTGAAGCCATGGGTGGCAATGCTTAAGGATACTTTGGGTAGAATGTTAAATGATCCAGGAAGTATCAAGAGAAGATGGAAGGAGTACTAAGAATCACTGTATCAGAAGGAATTGGCTGACATAGAAGAATTTCATGAAATAACATATGAGCAAGAGCCTGTAGTGATGAAGGAGGAAGTTCAAGTACTCTGAAGGAATTTGCAAAAAAACAAGGCTCCAGGAGTTGACGGCATACCAATTGACATATTTAAATAAACAGACACTGCCCTGGATGTGCTCACTAAGTTGTGCCAAGAAATCTGGAGGACAGCCAGCTAGCAACTGGCTGGAAAAGATCGATATTTGTTCCCATTCCAAAGAAAGGTGATCCAACAAAGTGTGGAAATTATTGAACAATATCATTAATATCACATGCAAGCAAGATTCTGCTGAAAATTATCCAAAAATGATTGGAGCAGTATGTCAACAGAGAACTGCCAGATGTGCAGGCTGGATTTAGAAGAGATTGTGGTATTAGGGATATTATAGTTAATGTTAGATGGATCTTAGCAGAAACCAGAATACCAGAAGAATGTCATATCTGTGCTTGACTATGCAAAGGCTTTTGACTGTGTGGATCACAAGCTGTGGCTGACTCTGAGAAGAATGAGAATACTCAGAACATTTGATTGTGCTTATGTGAAACCTATACTTTGACCAGAAGGTAGTCATCAGAATAGCGCAAGGAGACACTACATGGTTCAAAATCAAGAAGGGGTTTGTCAGGGATATATTTTGTCTCTATACCTTTTCAATCTGTATGCAGAAAAGACAGATCATTCGAGAAGCCGGGTTGTACAAGGAGGAATGTGGCATCAGCATTGGTGGAAGAGTCATCAGCAACCTGTGTTATGCAGATGACACAACTCTGCTTGCTGAAACTGAGGAGGACCTGACAGGCTTGCTGCAGAAGGTCAAGGACTGCAGCCTTCAATATGGACTGAAGCTCAACATCAAGAAAATAAAGATTCTCACCACTGGGCCAATTGGCAGCATCAGTATGGATGGTGAAGAGGTTGAGATTGTTAACAGTTTGCTTGCTCCACAGTCAACACTCTTTGTACCAGCAGCCAGGAAATAAAGAGAAAAATTGCATTGGGAAAGTCAGCTGTGAGGGACCTTTCAAGAGTACTGAAGAGCAGTGAATTCAGGCTGGAGACTAAGGTGTGCCTGGTCCAGGCTATAATCTTCGCAATTACGTGCTATGCATCAGAGAGTTGGACAGTGACTAGGGATGATAGAAAGAGAATTGATGCCTTTGAGCTGTGGTGCTGGAGAAGAGTGTTGAATATACCAT